TCTAGACTCTGCCACTCATGAAGACAAACTGATAACCTAATAGGTCCATTCAAGATTTTATTTGCCCCGCATTTACAGAGATAAACATACAGTGAAACCTTGGTAGAACGTTCTCCCTTCAGATCCAAGATTTCCTACGTTTTAGCCAAGGTGCATAGTAACCAAAAAATGGTAGTAACAGGGGAGGTTGCTGTAAAGTATTTTTTAAATACACTTTTTAAATTATTGCTGCCCCACTCCCTCCCGGGAACTAAAAGAGTTCATTATGAATTGATAAAAGTAAAAAAAAATTTTTTGTTGTTGCTTTGATATGTTTTTTTTTTCAAATCCAAGTAGACATACATGCATAAGTAATTTATGAATGTGGTGAGGTTGGAGATCATGATAGTGCTGATGATGTTTTTTATCACGTCCCTGATGATGATGATGATGATGATGATGATGATGATGATGACGATGATAACAAATATTGGACATACAACAAAGATTTTGCTGGAAGAGAGAACCATCTTAAGTTGAACTTTGAATGTTATGACCATGCATGGAGTAAATATTGGCCCAACCCTAGGGAGAGAGAAGCAAATCTCTATGGGGGGGGGGGGGGGAGGACCTTTGGCAAACTGCAGCCGTTGCTCTAGAGACTGGGATGTCCATTTGTGTGTCAACGTGGGGGAATCTGGCGCTCATCAATCTTTGGCCATATGGAGTTATTGATATCATCTTAATTAAAGGTTGTTTATTTGCCCAGCTTTTTTATGAAAAAATGTCCAATTATCTTGAATACAATTGGAGATATTTGCGATTGAAGGATGTGGGGTCGCCTGGTTTCAGAGATAAAATTACCGGTAGCGAGAAAATGCCGCTAAAGTTTGGGGACTTCCATAGCTTGGAAACTTCAAAATTACATTTTTTTGTGCCGTTAATGAACTTTTTTCCATAAAATCCTCATGTAAAAGTGTTTTTGAGTAGACATACCAGGTGTTGAGCAAAAAAACAAAAATTTGAAAAAATTTTCCAAAATGGCCAAGAAATGTAGTTTGTTGGATTTCATTATTTTGACGTGCGCCTGATTTCATCACGATGCCTCACATTTTGGAGATGGACAAGAAGAAGAAAAAACAAAATGCGCTTGAAATAATACTCAAGGCAAAAAAACTGACAACGTTAGACGAATTGTGTAACATTGTAAAAAGGCATAAATTTGACCACTAAATCCCTTGAATAGGGAACATTTTTAGTAAAAAGTAGGTTTTACGCAGTAAAGTTTGAGATATTATATAATATAGTTCTTAAATAGTAGTTAAAAATACCCCCCCCCAACCCCCCCCCCCCCACAACAACAACCCCGAACAACAACAACAACAACAGAAACAAAACAATATGTGAGTCAGGCTTCAGAAAAGGAATTTTCCTGCCTTGAGTACCTCATTAAGCTGAGCACATTGTGCCGAGGTTTTACTGTGTACTTTTTAGGTCCCTTTAAACCTATATTAGGTCCGGGATGATATTGAAGTGGGGAACAGTAGGCCTACAGCAAACCCATAAACGGCAAATCAACAACTATGACTAGGGGTCAGAAGATGTGGCCTGGGCAGGTGGCCAGACAAGAACGGAGATCTCGATGAATGAAAAATGACGATAAGGACGCTAGCGAAAAAACAAATGACAGTGGCAGTTTTTTTTTTTTTCAACGCTCATTAAACTCTTCAAGCCCACAACTATCACGAGGGTAGCCCCGATTTCCTCGTGAGAGAGGCTGAACTCCACATAATACCAGCATCACTGTTGAGAGAATCAGTTTAAAAATATGAGCTGAACCTTCTGTCAGTATTAAAGGAAAGCGAGAGAGGAGGAGGGGGGGGGGGGGGGAGGGGCAGCGGGCGGATAGGGACTGTGGTGTACTGGGCACCCACTTTGCCATAACATACAGAAGACACGAGTTCGATTCCTTGATTCCCACATGGGGAAGTTATTTTCTTGACTGTGTGCTTGGACGCTGTATCCCCCTTAGTTTGAGCCAGCTACGAGGGGCAGTGTCAGGGCAGCCCGCCTCCTAATTGATCTGAATTGTTTCTCTGGGGCCATGAAGTGGCGTCGGTGGCCTAGTGGTTAGCCTCTCGGGCTCGCAACCGTAAGGTCGTGGGTTCGAATCCCGACGTTGTGTCCTTGGGAAAGGCACTTTGCACAAATTTTCCTCACTTCACCCAGGTGGGAATGGGAACCCGTCTGTAGCCAGTGAACGATCTTGTCAGTTTGATAGTGTTTGAGCGCGTGAAATCCGCAGCTTGCACTGTATGCTTCCGCGGAAGCCGAGAATGTTTCAGTGTTCTCAGAGGGTCTGCTGGGGTAATAATAGTTGTAAAGCGCATAGAGCATGCTCTTGAGCATAGATATGCGCTATATAAATGCAATTATTTTAAGTATTACAATCATTTTGGGACGTAGGTTGGCGGTTAGGGGGGGGGGGGG